CTTTGGCCCATCCTTGTCAATCTCTTTCCTTTTCATGTTGTATAGTTGAGACATTCAGTGACTTGGCCTTCAGTGATATTTTTCTGCATCTGCTTACTGGTAACCTCACGCTGCTGGGTGATGAATTTGCACTTGAGGAGTTCTGCACCAGTCTCTTTGACGGCTTCTTTCTCACTGCCTGCTCAAGGTAAATCTGATTCTCCTCAAAGAAAAGTGAGTTTATATCTGAAGGAGGTTATGCTGCTTTGAACTATAGCTTAATAGTTCAGCAAATTCTTTACATATAGTGGAAATAGTAGTCTGATGCTGTTTTTTCCTTAAGAAAAGGCTTAAATTTTGTGATCAAGTTTTTATGAACAAAATTGTTAAGAGCTGGTTATTAATTACTACCTAAACTGTTGTTCATTATTCATAAGTTGGAGTTGCAAAAGACAATGTCCTTCATGCATAGCAGTAGCTCTGAATATGAAGAGTTAACTTCAGCTCTTCACTGTATCAGCTGCACACAGAAGATCTGGTTTTATCTGTTAATTCTGTTAAGTCGGTGTGGTTCAACTGGTGGTCTGCAGACCAGATCTAATGTCTGGGAGGCTTCCCCAGCAGTGACTGGAACTGCTCTTCAGACACAGCAGCGTGTGCTGCTGCTGCTGCCACCGCTTCCTCTGCACATATGTAGGACAAACATCCTCCTGCTCATGCATATGGCCTGTCCAACAGCTGCCTACATGTGCTACAGTCTGTGCTTAAACTCTCCCACTCCTTCCTCGTGGTTGCTGCAGTTAGTCCACTCCTGTTGAATGATGACATGAATTGCTTAAAAGCCTAAGGCCAGGATTAGCACTTTGTAGCACACAGGCTACAATTCTCAGGTGTTTCGTAAGATTATAACAAAGTTGCTGGTCTGTGGGTGCGTGAATTGTTCTGGTACTGTAGCTGTAGCTTTCTCGTGCTCAGGATGGTGTTTGTTTATATCAGTTACTCTGCTTTAAAACTGCTTTTTGCAGGAAGGAGAACGTACACAGACATGTGCTAAGGCTGCTGCTTCATCTGCATCACAAAGTGGTGCCTGCCAAATTAGAGTCTCTCCAGAAGGCTTTGGAACCCACCAAGCAGGTAAGAAGGACAGCATGAGAAAGGAATAATTAATTGCAGATTAAAGCAGCTGCCTTTCCAGACGTTGTTAAATGGAACATGTGCTCTGCTATCCAAGTGTACCAAGCTGTGTCTTAATTACCTTGTAACTTCCTCTTTCTGTGTTGGTTTGTGTTAGAACACACAGGACAACTGCATACTTAGTGTTCTAGCCAGTAGAAGCTAGAATGAAGTATGACTCTCTTGTTTTTTCCCCTCCCTAATTCTCATTCTGCAGAGCGGGGAAGCTGTGAAGGAGCTTTATAACCAGCTCACAGAGAAACTGGAGCTTCGCAAGCCAAGTCCAGCCGAAGTGACTGAGACTCCCTCCATGGAACTGCCCTTGCCCACTGTGCCCACGCCAGCCTCACGCTGAGCTACGTCTGTAGTGCGAGAGTGAGACAGAAGAACGAACCGAGTGCTCTGCGGCGTGAAGGCGCTGTGCTGCCTTTCAGGTGTCTCTGCCTACAGGGTGGAAACAGGAAAAAAAAGCCACTGAAGCCCTTTCAGGAAACACTGCAGTTTACCCAACTCACTGGCTCTTGCTGGTTAGAAAACTCTGTATGCAGTGCATTGCAAAGGTTTACTTTTCTTAGGTAGCTGAGTGTCTTCTTTTAGATCCACTTAAAATCTGACTGTACTTTTTTTTTTTTTTTCAAAAAGGAAATGCATATTTTTAAGCTTGACATCTTGTATTTTTAAACTCTACTTTAAGAACTTATAAATGAGTGTTTAACTCCATTATGCTTGAGCGGATAGCGTGAACTCCTGAAGGTTATCCGTAGCTTGCTTTGGCCGGTAGTTTGCTCCTCTGGGTCTTTGGAGAAGATGCTCCACAGAAGGAAATGCCTGAGCTCCACTGACATTGAGGTTCTAGCTTGTTTGGTACAGGGTTAGACATGCTGCATCAGTCAGAGATGTCCACCACTGTCACTAGATCAAGAAGCAGTGAGCAGCCATCTTCTCAGCTGGGCTCACAAAGCAGGCCAGAAATTAAGTCCTTCTCCTCTTTTCTCTCCACACCTCTCCAGAGGAGTAGCTTGAAATGAGTCTTGGAGCCAGTGAAGAAAACTTAAGACTAGCATGCTCCCAAATGACAGTAGGGTTTGAGTGTAGGTGGAGTGAAACTTTGAAAAAATAGCTTGTTCTTCACGGCTCGTACGTGTCGCTGTCTGTACTGTTAGAGTTAATTCCTATTCTGCTTTTATTGCTGCCTTGGTGTAAGCCTCAGGTAGAGTGTGCAGGAAGATGGACATGGGAGAAGAATGGGAGTTGTGTGAGGTATCAACGGACTTAACACTGATTTCAGTGGGTGCAATGGGCCTGAAGAGAATCTTGCCAGTCCTCTAAGCAGGAAGCTGCCTACATGAATAAATTCTGAATTGCAGAATAATTCAGGTGGAAAGGCACCTCTGAGGGTCTCTGGTCCACCTCTGAACTCAGAGCAGGCCTGCTCTAGGTGAGGTTGCTCGAGAGCAGGACTTTGTATTAGCCTTTGAGTTTCAGGAGGTTTCTGGCAGGCCCTTTCCAGCCTGTTGAGGGCAGGAGGTCCCTTTGAACAGCAGCCCAGCTCAGCGCATCAGCCATGCCCACAACTTGGTCTCATTTGCAAACTTGCCCAGGGTGTGTTGTGTCTCCAGGTTGTAAATAGAGACATTAAACAATATTAGCCCCATTAATGACCCCTGAGGTGTGCCATGAGTTGGCTGCCAGTTGGACTTTGTGCTGCTGATGACAACCCTCTGAGCCCGGTGTCCTGCCAGTTTTCTGTGCAGCTATTTGAACTGTATCAGAACGATTTGGCGATGTGGATTCTTCACACAGTTGTGTCAAAAGCCATTTGAAATCAGGGTAAGCTGTCCACTGCGCTCCCCCACCGCCAAGCCAGGCACCTCTCTGTAGAAGGCTATTGGGTTTGTCAGGCACAATTAACCCTTGGCATTTGCCCATCCATGGAGGGCATACCCTGTCACTTTCTTGTCCCTTATTTTTTTCCCCATCACCACTTGTTTCCTGGGACTTGAGCACTCCTGAAGCTGTGTCCAAAAAAAGAAATGGACAGTGGTTAAGCAGAGGCAGCAATCCTTCCCCAAAGCTGCTGACTCCCTCTTTGTGTGGGTTTTTTCCCTCGTGAACTCTCAAATGCTGCATGAGGAGAGTGAGCATCACCTCTCCTCATTGCCTCGGTGCTTTGTTTTTCCTTTCATGCAGGGGCTTGTCTGTATCCTGTGGGAGAACTGGGAAGGGGCTTGGGTTTGTGTGTGAAACGGGCACTGTCTTGTAGCTCACGCTGCCTTCATGCCCCTTGTCTCAACTCCAGCTCCTGGGGTCAGCGTTGCCTTTGGCAGAGTCTCGGTACTTCTGGCATGGGACTTGTTGGGAACAGGCACTGAGTGTAACAATCGGGTCTTTCTTGCAAAGGTTTGTTTTCAAACCATTTAGAACTGTCATGGTAACCTACACAAAATAACATCCCACGCTGCTGGCCAACCTTTCGCAATGAACCTACTCGGGCCTGAGCTCTGCTCAGGCTTGAGGGTTATTTTATTTATGTGTTGAGGATCCTCTCTGTCACTAAAGGTTTCCCTTTACCCCATGCTGCATTGGCACTCTGCTGCGGCACGATCTTTTAATCCAGGCTGTGTGATTTACTGCTTGGTAGAAAAACCTTTTGTGTTTCAGCCTGTACACACAGTGCTGAGATAGACGCTGGTGATTTTTTTTCCAGGTTTTTAGATCCACAAAGGAATTGAACCCCAGAGCACAAACTGGCCATTACCTGTATCCAGGAGGATAAATTTGGGCAGCGGGGAGTGGTAGCGGCTGCTGGCCTGTGCTCTCCTGGCCTGCCATCTGCACAAAGGTGTGATGAGAGGACAGGCGCTTTTCAGAAAACATCGTTTTAGTAATGAACATCTCGGTCTGTTTCCATTCTTTGAGATGAGAATGGTTTCACTCCAGTGCCAGAAATCACACAGCCTCCTGTTGTACGTGTAAACCTCTGCACAGCCTGCGGCAGGAGCTGGTGCGGGATGCTCGTGAGTCGCTCGCTGCTGCCTGTTTGGGGGCCAGGACCTCTCTGGGTTCTGCTCTGGGGCTCCCGCTTGGAGGAGCTCACTCCCTTCTGCTCCTGTTGTGTGGGATGGCGCTGTCCTGCAGCACAACTACCTGGTGTAGTACGGCTGCGTAAGAGAAGTCTTTATTTTACATCTTTTTAATAGTCCCTCTGTGCCAGCTGAGCCGCTGTGCGGCGTGCAGCGGTGTGCACCGCTGTGGGTGCTCACCAGAGGCTCGGGCAACCCTGGCTGCCCTGCGTGCCCCTGACATGCTGCTGCTTGAAATCCTCCCCGTTGGCCGTGGCATCGCTCCCTGCTTACGCTGATGTTACGTTTTGTCTTTACAACAGGGATGTGACACCTGTGAGATGAAAAAATGTGCATTCTCTCCAAACCTGCTGTGCCTGACGGGGGAGTGAATTTTTACAATGAATTCTAATTAGCTTGAGCAATCTGGTCGTCTCTGTGTGCTTTTCCTGAAAGATCAGGGTAACTAATAGCCCTGAGAGGCTCTTCAGGCGTTTTGGATGGTTAACATTTAACTGAATTTCTGTGTCGAGCTGTTAAACAAGTAATTTGGCTGGAGCTACGTTAGAAGATTGATAGAGCACTGTAACTGCACAGGTTGATACAAGTAGCCAGTTACTGAGGCCTGTGCTAGCAGAGGAACCAGGTCCTATCTAAAATTAGTGAAAAATGTGATTATTACAGTGAAACACATTTTACTGCCAAACTACCTGACACCCAGAGCACCCCCAGCATCATTTCAAAACACAGCCAGATTCCTCTTGACATCTTGATTTGATGTAGGATGGCTCTTTGTGGACTAAGGTAAAAGGAGACCAAACAAATCTCCTTGGCCAGAGAAAATGCAAAGCCCCCCGGGATACCCCTCAGCCGTTGTGAGTCCTCTCTATTGCTGGGAGCTGTTTGGTTTTTAGGTGGTTCCTGGCCTTCTCCTTGCAGTGATGTAAAAGAAACCTGCCGTGGGTTTAGCTTTGAAGATAAATGGATCAGTTAATGAGCACGTGCAGTGCGGGTTAGATTGCTTCCTGCTGAAAAAGTTTGGCTCAGGAGGCTGGTTCAGTTCAGGCTGCTCTGGGGCGTCTGCTCCTTTGGGAGTGCGGTACCAGGAACTGTCTTTGTGTGCAAGAACATCAATTCCCACAGGAAGGTGATGGGTTGGGCTGAAATTCCAGCTCCAGGATATTGGGGATTTATTTTCTTGACTCTATTGCGAGCACTTCAAGAAAGGAAATGGCTGAAATCCAGAGGAATTTTTTTCCCCCAATTTCTGTGCATTTGACTGCAATACAGAGCAGTGGAATTTCTTAACCAACGGGGCAAGGAAAGGCGCAGAGCCACACAACCACTGCACAGTCGGAAAGAAGACGCTGGTGTGGTTCTTGTTGATGCTGCTCCAGTGCCTTGGAGACATCGACCCAGGTCCTGCTTGGCTCGAACATGCTCAGAATGAACATCAAAAGGTGTTTTAGTACCTCCCTACTATCTCTGTGCCC